CTGACCCTGGATGCCTTAACACCAGCTCCAAGGAGCCAGCCTGCTCTAGGAGCTGACCCTGGATGCTGTAACCCCAACTCCAAGGAACCAGCCTGCTTTAGGAGCTGACCCTGGATGCTGTAACCCCAGCCCTGAGGAACCAGCCTGCTTTAGGAGCTGACCCTGGATGCCATAACTCCAGTTTTGAGGAACCAGCCTGCTTTAGGAGCTGACCCTGGATGCCATAACTCCAGTTTTGAGGAACCAGCCTGCTCTAGGAGCTGACCCTGGATGCTGTAGCCCCAACTCCAAGGAACCAGCCTGCTCTAGGAGCTGACCCTGGATGCTGTAACCCCAACTCCAAGGAACCAGCCTGCTCTAGGAGCTGACCCTGGATGCTGTAACCCCAACTCCAAGGAACCAGCCTGCTTTAGGAGCTGACCCTGGATGCTGTAACCCCAGCCCTGAGGAACCAGCCTGCTTTAGGAGCTGACCCTGGATGCTGTAACCCCAGCTGTGAGGAACCAGCCTGCTCTAGGAGCTGACCCTGGATGCTGTAACCCCAACTCCAAGGAACCAGCCTGCTCTAGGAGCTGACCCTGGATGCTGTAACCCCAACTCCAAGGAACCAGCCTGCTTTAGGAGCTGACCCTGGATGCCATAACTCCAGTTTTGAGGAACCAGCTTGCTTTAGGAGCTGACCCTGGATGCTGTAACCCCAGCCCTGAGGAGCCAGCCTGCTCTAGGAGCTGACCCTGGATGTTGTAACCCCAACTCCAAGGAGCCAGCCTGCTTTAGGAGCTGACCCTGGATGCTGTAACCCCAACTCCAAGGAGCCAGCCTGCTTTAGGAGCTGACCCTCGATGCCTTAACCTCACCTCCCTTCCTCTCCTCCCCCACGGCCCCGGGCCCTTTGCTCACACGGTTCCTGCAATTCCTGGCCCTCGCCTTCGAGGCTTCCGCCACCATCTGGGCTCCATTTAGGGGAGCTGATGTTTTTCACAGGGCTGTAATCTAAACTTTGGGATTGAGTTTACATCTCGCATACCAGCGTCTCACCGCCGGGCCTGGCTCTGCACCGGGGGCCGGCGGCTGCCAGCCCTGTGCCGGCGGCTCCGGGCACCTGGGAGCGGTGCAGGGTCAGTGCAGGGATCCCAAACCGGGGATCCCAAACCAGCGATCCCAAAACACCTCTGGATCCAACCAGGCACTGCCCCTGCCAATGGGTGCGAGCTGTGAGAGCCCAACGAGCTGGGAATGAGCTCAGCCTGCCCTGGAGGCTGCGATGGGAGACAAAGCCCCACATCAGCGTTATCCAAACCCCACATCAGCGTTATCCAAACCCCACATCAGCGTTATCCATCCCAGCAGCAGGAAATTCCCCAGCCCGGGCAGCTGGAGATGCGAGCACAGGAAGGAGAAGCGATCTGGGAGCAGGGATGCGGAGAGGCAGGTCTGGCCCTGCTTGTGCTCAAAGCCCAGGGTGACACACCTGCCTCAGGGCCCAGCGAGGCTCCTGACCCAGCTCTCAGGTGACAACTGGCACCCCCAAATCCCCGCCAGCCACCCACATGCCCACGCCAGCCTTCCTCCACCCTCCTCTCCGGCTGCAAGGTGGGCAGAGCTGCAGGCAGCGTCCAGAGGCAGCCAAGGCGGCTCGATCCCAGCAATCCACGAGGCTCAGCCAAACCCAAAAAATAATGTTTTCATACTTTGACTTTTCAGGCAGGATTTAGTCATTTGTGGACACGAGGCCTTGGCAGGGCCGCGCTGCCTCCGCTCACCTACCCCGGCCCGCGGCTGTTTACGGCGGCAGAGCCTTGGGAGGAGAGGGGAGATTGGTGCTTTAATCCAGGTGAATTATCCCTGCTGGCTTTAGGAGCCTGCAGCTGGTGGGGAAGGGGAGATTCAGCATCCCTGCACAGCCAGGGACGGACCCACCGCAGGGGATGAGGCGTCACAACGCAGCCCACCCCCACAGCTCCACAAATACTGCCTGGACAAAGCCAGCAGGGCTTTTACCCCGTCCACCTAATGGCTAAAAAATGAGTTAAGGGCAGAGAAGCCGAGCCCTGGCTGGGCACACTCGTGGTAAAAGGCAGAGTGGCTGAGAGCTGCTCTGCCATAGGAGGAAAGCAGGTTCCACCCCAGCCCCGTGGGGTTGTGCAGGCTCTGTTTGCTCAGCACGGGGCACTGGGAGCTGCCAGGGGCAGGGGAAGGGGTGATGGATCCTGGGGGCTGCCAGGGTATCCCTCAGGAGCCCTCCATGCCCAGGGTCCAACATGAGCTCCAACCAACTCCTCACCTTGGTGTCAGATCCAAACTTCCCAGGCACGAGCCCAAGGCTTTATCTGCCTTTGTTCCCTCCCTCCTCCCACATTTGTTATTAAACATTTGTTATTTGTTATTAAACTACGGCCACTTATCTGCAAATCCTGCCTCTTAAACCAGCAAAGCCACACCACGGCTGCTGAGTGCCACGCTGTGTCCCACAGCCCGGGGGATGCCAGGAGCTCATCCCCACACACCCTGTCTGCCTTCAAAGCTCATCCACCACGAGGATCCCACCACGACCAGGATCCCGCCAGGATGAGGATCCCATGAGGAGGATCCCACCAGGATGAGGATCCCACCATGAGGATCCCACCACAACCAGGATCCCACAAGTACGAGGATCCCGCCACGACGTGGATCCCACCACCATGAAGATCCCACTACCATGAGGATCCCACCACAACCAGGATCCCCCCAGGATGAGGATCCCATGAGGAGGATCCCACCAGGATGAGGATCCCACCATGAAGATCCCACCATTACATGGATCCCACAACTACGAGGATCCCACCACGACGTGGATCCCACCACCATGAAGATCCCACCACCATGAGGATCCCACCACAACCAGGATCCCACCAGGATGTGGCTCCCACCACGACACTTCTGCATTTTCACCCAGCGACCAAACCACCCAAAGCATCCACGAGGCCAAAGAAGCCAAGTGGAGCAAGTCCTCCTGGGAAAGGAGCCATTCCAGAGTGGAGCAAGTCCTCCTGGGAAAGGAGCCATTCCACAGTGGAGCAAGTCCTCCTGGGAAAGGAGCCATTCCAGAGTGGAGCTTCACAACCAAGCAAGGGATGGAGCTCGGAGACAGGAAGGATTCGCTGGGGCAGCCCTGGGACCAGCAGTACAAACTCACTGAGGAGCTTTCAGTGGCAGGAGGAGCTTTCTGAGGAGCCTCCGTGCCCTCCAGGCAGTGCAGCAGAAGTTGCACAGCTGTCCCAGGACAGATAAGGCTCAAATGATTCATTCAGAGTAAATCTTTATTTGTTCTTGCTTACCCAGAGGAGCCAGCAGCTGTTAACGCTGAACTGGGCCGGCTCCCAAGCGCAGACAAAGCCCTGCAAAAATGGGTTTAAGGAGGAACTGACTGTCCAAAAAAGCAATCCTAGAAGAGGGAGTTCGAAAGAGGGAGTGCAGCGCGGCGCAGGAGGAAGAGGAAGCCAGAGAGCACCTAAAAATAAATTTTAAAAAAAGCAGCGAGGCGCAGGACAAAGGCCTGGCGCGCACGTGACCGTTCCCCACAGCGGAGGCAGGATGCGAGCTCGGAACACAACACTCCTCCCCAGCAACCCCACGTACAGAGCCCCGAGCACCTCCCAGCTCAGCCAAAGCCACCACCAGCACCTTTCCCACCCAGGATGGGCCCAGGGGCAGGATGCTGGCTGTGCCCCAAGCTGGGCACGACCCAGGCCGGGGTGGAAGTGCACCCAACGCAGCAAGGCTGGAGGCAGGCAGAAGAGCTTGAAAATGTTAAAGGAATTGAAATGAGGTCTGGAAAATGAGGTTCCTCCCAAGAAGCACCCTCAAAACCAGCCAAAGTCCTGCGGAAGCACTACCCCAGCATCCCCCCAGGCAGGGCCTTCACCGGATCTGAGCAGAGCTGGTGGGCAACTCGTGAGTTCGCTCTGAAACAGCCAGAAAATGCAGCTGACAGAGGAGCCCGTCCTGTGCCTGCTGCTGCAGCTGGCACAGACACTGTGGCTCCCCTGCCGTGCCTCCAAGGCTGCAGAACCACCCAAGATGGGACATCAGCCCCCAGTGCCCTGAGCCAGCCCTGCTGGTGGCCGTGCCCACCCACCCTCAGTGCCCTGAGCTGGCCCCGCTGGTGGCCCATCAATGCTCGGAATCCAAGCTGGCCCCACTGGTGGCCCATCAACCCTCAGTGCCCTGAGCTGGCCCCACTGGTGGCCCATCAATGCTCAGAGCCCTGAGCTGGCCCCGCTGGTGGCCCATCAATGCTCAGTGCCCTGAGCTGGCCCCGCTGGTGGCCCATCAATGCTCGGAATCCAAGCTGGCCCCACTGGTGGCCCACCAACCCTCAGTGCCCTGAGCTGGCCCCGCTGGTGGCCCATCAATGCTCAGTGCCCTGAGCTGGCCCCGCTGGTGGCCCATCAATGCTCGGAATCCAAGCTGGCCCCACTGGTGGCCCACCAACCCTCAGTGCCCTGAGCTGGCCCCACTGGTGGCCCATCAATGCTCAGAGCCCTGAGCTGGCCCCACTGGTGGCCCATCAATGCTCAGAGCCCTGAGCTGGCCCCACTGGTGGCCCATCAATGCTCAGAGCCCTGAGCTGGCCCCGCTGGTGGCCCATCAATGCTCAGTGCCCTGAGCTGGCCCCGCTGGTGGCCCACCAACCCTCAATACCTTGAGCTGGCCCCGCTGGTGGCCCACCAACCCTCAGTGCCCTGAGCTGGCCCCGCTGGTGGCCCATCAACGCTCAGTGCCCTGAGCTGGCCCCGCTGATGGCCCATCAATGCTCAGTGCCCTGAGCTGGCCCCGCTGATGGCCGTGCCCATCAGACCCTGGCAGGAGCTCCACGCCAGCCCCAGGAGCGAACCCGGCGTTGTTCCCTCTCCATGAGCATCCTGAAGGATGCTCCCTGCACGCCTTCCGCCAGCCCCACCACGGCTCACAGCCACGCAGGGAAGGAACCAACACCCAGGGACGGGAGAGGCACTCACAGGACGGGCTGAACATCACCAGCACGGTGGAGACCTCCAACCCTGAGAACATCCAGCGAGTTCCGCTCCCGGGAAGCCGCGGCTCCGCATCCCACATTCACTTCTGCTCCATCCCAGCCGATCCTCGGCGCAGCAGGGAGAGCAGCTGAGCCGCGCCGAGCCGGGTCGGGCACAGCAGCCTCTCAGAACCGACTCACGCCGTCCTGCAGCGGCTCCAGCAGGGTTTCTTGCACCCCCAGCCAGCCGCGGTCCCTCAGAGCTGCCCGGCCGGGCTGTGCCCACGCCGTCCCCTCGGAGCCAGCCCGGGCCGGCGGCAGGAGCCCTGCATGGCACTGGCTGCTGGTCCTCACGCCGCGCTCCCTGAGCTCATGACTGAGTAACGCCGGCAAGCCAAGAATAGAGACCTTGAAGTGAAACCTCCCGGGATTGGCAGCTATTTCGGGCGCGCTCAGCCGCCGGGGCTGCGTGACATAAGAGGATATAAAAGAGGAAACTCTGCACAACAACTCTCACCTCGCCGAGACGGAGCCGGCTCGCAGCAGGTAGGGCTGATGAGAGCACCCATGGGGTGAAGCCGTCGCTGTGACAACCCCTCTCCTCACAAGAGGCAGCACCGGGACCCCACGGGCTGTCCCAGCCCCAGAGCGCCCCGAGCATCCCCAGGGCTGAGCCCTGGGAAGTGCAGAGCTGCAGCCCAGCGTGGCCATGGCTCCTGTGCGCTGGGATGAGGCCAAACCCCAGCACAAACCACCCCGAGCCCACGTCGAGCTGAGCCTGTTGCCACAGGTTCAGCCTGCCCAGGCACCTCCGTGGAGCAGGAATTGCAGAGATGCTGCTGTGGCCAAAGGAGCCTCAAAGGAAAGTAACAGGACTGAGGCACCTGGAGCACCCCCAGGCCCAAATCCCAAATCCCAAATCCCAAAGCCCAAATCCCAAAGCCCAAATCCTAAAGCTCAAAGCCCAAATCCCAAAGCCCAAATCCCAAAGCCCAAATTCCAAAGCCCAAAGCCCAAATCCTAAAGCCCAAAGCCCAAATCCCAAAGCCCAAAGCCCAAAGCCCAAATTCCAAAGCCCAAAGCCCAAATCCTAAAGCCCAAAGCCTAAAGCCCAAAGCCCAAATCCCAAAGCCCAAATTCCAAAGCCCAAAGCCCAAATCCTAAAGCCCAAAGCCCAAATTCCAAAGCCCAAAGCCCAAAGCCCAAATTCCAAAGCCCAAAGCCCAAATCCTAAAGCCCAAAGCCCAAATCCCAAAGCCCAGCTCTGCCCAAACAGCCCCTCAAGCTCCTGGCTCAGCTCACCCCTGGAAAGGAAGGGCTGGGATTGCACCCAGCCACCAGATGTGGGGAGGAAAGATCTGGTCCTGGTTAACAACCAGCACCAAGATGAATGCAGGGAAATTTAAATGGCAATTCTGGGAGATCTCTGAACCCTTAGATACCGGGAAAACAAACACACAAGCTGCAGTTTGTGGAGATCAAACTCAGCACCTGAAAGCAGCCCCTGCCAGTTCACAGCGTGTCCATCCCTCGTGATGCCACTGTGCTCTGCCAGCTCACTCACATCCCAGAAATGTGCTTTCTGTGGGTTTTTGGTCAGGAGTAAGTCACCAGCCAGACTGACAGAGTCTACAGTGCTAATTAGGAAGAAATTCCTCCCTGGGAGGGTGGGCACAGGGTTCCCAGGGAAGCTGGGGTTGCCCCTGGCTTCCCGGGAGTGTCCAAGGCCAGGTTGGACGGGGCTTGGAGCAGCCTGGGACAGGGGAAGATGTCCCTGCCCACAGCAGGGGTGGCACTGGATGCTTTGAGGCACCTCCCAACCCAAACCACCCCACAATTCTATGAAATAACTGAATTCCCCATTAGTCTGCTCTAAAACCACCCTCCAAAACTTACCCAGAGCACGAGGGGGAACAGGGATGATTCCATCCCTCACCCAGACACTGACGGCCAGTTAAGGCCTCCCAGTTAAACCCAGCTTCCAAAGGCTGGAGAGCCACCACAAGCCACAGCTCAATCATCCCAGCACTGCTGTCCCCGTGCCAGCAGGTGACAGGGCCCAGACAAACCCAGCCATGGCAGGGACTGTCCCTTGGCACGGGGACCCTCCCTGGGACGCTGCCACTTCTCTGTGCCCACCAGTGCAGCCCTGGGAGGAGGAGAAGGCCAGGGCAGGGATGGTGCTGAGCTCAGCAGAGGCTCCTGCAGCCAGGAGTTCCGTGGTGCCTCCCTCATGGGACAGCAAGGAGCCAGTGCCAGGCGCCCAGAGCAGGACAGGGACCAGGGTGACACACAGGTGACAGGAAGGACACGGCAAAACCCGGGCGTGAGCAAGGGACGTGGGAGAAGGGACAGAGCCCACCTGGGAGACAGCTCTGCTGTGAATATTCCCACCCTGCAGCCCTGAGGATAACCCCGACAGCAGCTGCTTCCAGCAGCCCCCCCCAGAACTGCTGAAGGCACTGGATGGGGCAAAGAGGCCAAGGCAGGGGCAGAAGAGACAATTTTCATGTGGAAGTTGCACCCCCGGGGCTACAAATGAAAGTTATCGTCAGTGCACGGAGCCCTGGGCAAACCTGGGGAATTTACATAAGCCTTGAAGTTCAGGAAAGCACAAAGAAATTGAGAGAGCAATCCTGGCTTTGTCTCCAGCATTGTGAGGAAGTCTCCACATTTTCTGTGCTGCCCAAGGCTCCCCTTACGCAACAGCAGCTTATGAAAAGCAGCCTCAGCATCAGCAGGTTTCCCCTCCCTCTGCAAGAGATCCTCCTTCCAGGGGAGATCCTCCTTCCAGGGGAGATCCTCTCTCAGGGCAGATCCTCCTTCCCTGGGAGATCCTCCTTCTGTGGGAAATCCTCCTTCCAGGGGAGATCCTCCCTCCAGGGGAGATCCTTTTTCCATGAGAGATCCAAATTCCATGAGAGATCCTCCTCCCATGAGAGATCCTCCTTCCAAGGGAGATCCTCCCTCCAGGGGAGATCCTCCTTCCTGGGAGATCCTCTCTCCAGGGTAGATCCTCCTTCCAGGGGAGATCCTCCTTCCATGAGAGATCCTCCTTCCATGAGAGATCCTCCTCCCATGAGAGATCCTCCTTCCACAAGAGATCCTCCTTCCAAGCGAGATCCTCCTTCCAGGTGAGATCCTCCTTCCCTGGGAGATCCTCCTTCTGTGGGAAATCCTCCTTCCAGGGCAAATCCTCCTCCCATGGGAGAGCCTCCTTCCAAGGGAGATCCTCCCTCCAGGGGAGATCCTGCTTCCAGGGCAGATCCAAATTCCATGAGAGATGCTCCTCCCATGAGAGATCCACCTCCCATGAGAGATCCTCCTTCCAGGGCAGATCCTCCTTCCCTGGGAGATCCTCCCTCCAGGGCAGCTCCTCCTTCCAGGGCAAATCCTCCTCCCATGGGAGAGCCTCCTTCCAAGGGAGATCCTCCCTCCAGGGGAGATCCTGCTTCCAGGGCAGATCCAAATTCCATGAGAGATGCTCCTCCCATGAGAGATCCTTCTTCCAGGGGAGAGCCTCCTTCCATGAGAGATCCTCCTTCCCTGGGAGATCCTCCCTCCAGGGCAGCTCCTCCTTCCAGGGCAAATCCTCCTCCCATGGGAGAGCCTCCTTCCAAGGGAGATCCTCCCTCCAGGGCAGATCCTCCCTCCCTGAAGGCTCAGGAACACCCCAGAGCGCCGATCCCAGCAGCACATCCCGACTCCTTCCTGCAGCACCAGGGAGCTGCTCCTCCCAGGAGAACTGCCCGCCTTCCCCCTCTCTGGAGCCGAGCTCCAGGGGGCTTCCAGGGCTGCAGGATGCTCCAGAGGCTCCAACCAGCACCACTGACAGGGTTATTTGTCTCTGCCCCGACACGGGAAAAGTGGTTCTGGGTGGCCGCGATTCGAAGGACGAGCCTGGACTCTCAGGTTTTTCGGTCTTCAGTCTTGTTTGTTAATTCTTATCTACAATATTTTCTCTCTGCCCAGCCGAGGTCTGTTCAGCAGGACAGCCCAGTGCACTCTCCCCGCCTCTTGGGCTGGTGTTATCTTTTATACTAAAAACTACCTATACCATGTTTACAGTTACTTTCCAATACCTATCACCTGTGTTAGACAGTGACTTTCTACTCTAAACCAATCTGTGAGTGCCAACATCATCCTGAACGTGGATTCCAGGGAGAAGAAAGAAGAAGGACAGGGCACGCCCAAATCCCTCCATCTTGGAACCCCTGACCCCCATGTACAGAACCCCAAACCCCCCTGTACAAGGTCCAAAACCCCCCTGTACAGTGCTCCAAATTTTTTCCTTCACCTTGTGATTGCCACTGCTATGCTACTTAAACTTTTATGACCTGTAATTCTTCATACAAAGTTGGTCATTTGCTCCATGGGTTGAGATCAAATTTCCAGGTGTCTTTGGCTTCCTACCAGGGTCTCTGAGCCCCTGCCAGGGCTTTGAGCCATGCAGGGCATCCAGAGAGATGTCCTGGGTTCCGACAGCCCAGCTCAGCAGGGTTTGTTTTGCACTGGTGCGAGCTGTGTTTTGATCCAGCTCTGCAATGCAGCCCTGTGGAAGAGCCAATTCTCCCTCTGGCGCCGTTCCTGCTCCTGGATACCGACAGCTCACGGGACAAAACCCGAGGGATCCGGGTGTCAGGGAGGTTTGTCACTGTGCTGAGGGGCAGGGCAGCCCAGGGAAACCCCACAAACACCATCCCAATTCTCCTTCCAGCAACCAGACACCACACCCGGCCTTGAGAGTGAAGTTTTAGGTTGAGGAAACCAACAAAGGTGGGCTGGATGTGTGCAGGGGTCACAAATGAACCCAAAGGTGGGCTGGATGTGTGCAGGGGTCACAAACTGACCCAAAGGCCTCTGCTCCTCTCCAGCCCCTCTGTGGGGCCAGGACCTCCATGGAGACCCACCCCTGGCATGTCCCCTCCCTGCTGGAGGCCTCCCTGGGTGACAGCGTGGCGCTGACTCAAGGCTCTTTCCTCAGCATCCTCGGGTGTTGCCCAAGAGGCACCGCGACGGTGACAGGGACGGTGACAGGGACGCGTGGCACCCACAGCTCTGCCACCTCAGCGGCGCTGAGCCGCCTCCACGGGGAGCCTGGGGAAGCTCCAAAGTCGCTGCAGCGGGCACACTTGGGCTCTGTTTGCTGTTTAGAGGGTGACAGCTGGCTGGGACAGTGCCACCCAGCGCTGCTGGCTCTGCCCACACTCGAAGGCAAGCGGCCGGAATTCGGCACATTCATTCAGAGTTAGCAACTGCTGCTATATCGGGAAGGCAGCTTCAAGGGAAGGCAGAGCTCTCCAAGACAGAGAAAGAAAACAAATCCCTCGCCTGCAGTCTGCAGGCCAGAGCTGCAATCCTAAATTTCCTTGGCTCGGCTTA